GGGGTGGGGGGTGTGGTGGGGGGGCTGGCCTTTGTGAAGCGCCAAAGTTTGGGCCCGAGGTTCACTCATTTTCCCTTCAGATTTTGCACAGAAGGGCCTGGGTCTTAGAGATGGCACACCCTGCTCAGTGTCACACAGCGGGAAAGGGGCATCTGCAGATTCTAGCCCTGCGCTGTGTGTGTCCCAGACTCAAGCTCCCTGTATGTTGAGAGGTTGGTGGCTTTTCCTCATGTTCTCCAGAGCCCTGGGTTCCTCCAAGATGCCTCAGGGGTCCCCAGTCACGTGGGGGCTTGAGGAGACACAGAGGCCAAGGACCAGAGCTCTGGCCTCTGCCAGCCTCACGGGCAGGGACCCCATGTGTGGGTGGGGGACTCCACACATGGAGAGGGGTTTAATTTAATGTTCTACTGTTGATGCCTGGAAATGCTTTATTTTTTATTTTTTATTTTTTTTTGAGTTGGGGTCTCACTCTGTCATCCAGACTGAGTGCAGTGGTAAGACCACAGCTCACCACTGCCTTGACTTCCTGGGCTCAGGTGATCCCCCTTCTTTGCCTCTCTAGCAGCTGGGATTACAGGCACATGCCACCATGTCCTGCTAATTGTTTTTGATTTTCTGTAGACAGGAGGTCTCACTATGTTGCTCAGGCTGGTCTTGAACCCCAAGGCTCAAGCAGTCCTCCCGCCTTGGCCTCCCAAAGTGCTGGCATTATAGGCATGAGCCACTGTACCCAGTTGAAACCTCCATTTAAAAAGTGTAAACTTTGAACATTCCACCTGTAATCCTAGCACTCAGAAATCAGCATCATCATCATCTAACAAGAACAAAAATTAGCTCATTTTGACTTGATTTGCTTTAAAACAATGATTATTAGTGGGTTGGTAACATTTTCCCCACGTAGTGGCCATTTGTATTTTTTCTTTGGAGAATTGCTAGTCATGTGCATTCACTATTTTCTCTCACTAATTAAAAATTAATGAGAGAAATTAAGCATGTGGTCTGATGTATATTGTGGATACTTGCGCTCAGCTGTTTGACAGTTGAGTTTGTGTCTGGTGTTCTGAAGTTTTCCCATGTTGCCTTGTGAGGGGACTATTTTCTTTCTGCCTTGGGTCTTGGGGGTCATGTCTTTCCCCCCTCCTAGACTGCATACATACCTATATTTTACTTGACTGTTTCACTTTTACACTGAGTACTTAACTAGCATTTACTTTGGTGTAAGATGTAGTTAAGGAATACAGATGTGACCCTTTCCTCAGTTTGTTTAGTCAGTTGGCCAATTCCATTAATCACACATGCCAGCTGTTGACTAAGCTGCCGTTTCGTTTCTTTTCCTCCTCCCTCTTCCCCCACCCCTCTCTCCTCCTCCCCCCGCCCCGTCCCCTCCTCTCTGAGCTGGGCTCTTGCTGTGTTGTCTAGGCTAGTCTCAAACTCCTGGGTTCAAGTGATCCTTCCATCTCAGTCTCCTGAAGTGCTGGGATTACAGGGACGAGCCACCGCACCCAGCCTTGTGAAGGCTGTTCTCTATTGCCTCTGCCACCACTGTCACTTCTGTCTGCTATTGCCAGCAGACCCCAAGTTGGTCCTCTGCTTCTACCTTTGCCTCTTGCACACCAATCTCTACACAGCAGACTCATCTTTTAAAAATCGAAATCTGATCATATGGAGTGCCCTTAACTTGGCCTTCAATGCCCTGCAGAAACTGCCTCATTTGTCTCCTGGGTTACTCCCTCTTTCCCATTCCCCTCCTACCATTCTGACTTTTCTGTTCCCTGAATTTGCTAAGCTTCCTGCCTCAGGGACTTTGCACAGGCTATTGCCTTTGCTCTCCCCAACCCACGCTTTGTTGGCCTAGCTCCTCTGAGAGAGAGTGAGAGAGAGAGAGAGAGAGAGAGAGAGAGAGAGAGAGAGAGAGAGAGAGAGAGAGAAAGAGAGAGAGACACTCACACAGGAAGGGAGGAAGAGAGTGCTTATACTCATGCAGATGTGCTTTTTTTTAAATCAAGTTTTGGTAAAGATAGTTGAGAAGGTTTCCACTTTTTTCCTCTGTTCTGTAACAGTTTAAATGGAATGATAGATTTTAAAAAATGCTAAGTTGACTGTGACTGTCTAAGAGGAATATACTATACAGCTTTCCTGAATCTGCGTGGCTCTTTGCGGGTGCAATGCCTCGTAACATCATTTAGGACTAGTGGGTTCCATCCATTCATCCAACACACAGTTACTGAGTACCTACTAGGTGCCAGGCACTGGGTCAGACAATGGTCTCCCTATGTCTAGCTCCAGCAATGATAAAAACAGAAAGGTTTTTCATCAAGGCTGCTGGATGCACAGGTCTCATCTGTTCCGCTCATAGCCTAGTGTATGCTGGGGTTGGCAAGCCACAGCCTCTGGGCCCAATCTGGCTTACCCCAACTGGTTTTGTATGGCCTTGAGAGCTTAGGACAATTTTTACATTTTTAAATGGTTGGAAAAAAAAGTAATGCCATGTGAAAATTATATTAAATTCACATTTTGGTGTCAATAAGTGACATTTGATTGGGT